ATGTGCAGAGTGTCTCCAGACGATATGTCTTTTCAGGAGATAAGAGGGGGCACTGGAAGAAGGGGAGGATAAGAGAAGTTAGGATCAAAACAGGATCCCTGTTCACCAGTCTACCTCACCACAGGCTATCCCCGCTTCAGTTGATCCTGAATACTGCAGCCAGACTCATCCACCTTACCAACCACTCCGTATCCGCCACCCCCCTCTGCCAATCCCTCCACTGGCTTCCGATTGCCCAACGGATCAAATTCAAAATGCTAACACTGACGTACAAAGCTGTCCATAACACTGCCCCAAACTACATCACCGACCTGATATCCAAATACCACCCAAAACGTACTCTCCGCTCCTCACGAGACCTCCTTCTCTCTAGTTCCCTGGTCTCCTCCTCCCATGCCTGCCTCCAGGACTTCTCTAGGGCATCACCCATCCTCTGGAACTTCCTACCCCAATCCATCAGACTATCACCTACTCTCCTCTCCTTTAGGCGCACACCTGAAAACCCACCTCTTCAGGGAAGCCTACCCCGCCCTCAGCTAATTGCCGATCTCCTCCCTTCTTCCTACCACTCCATCCCCCACAGCTATTCCTCCCGTACCACTATCCCCTCCCTCCTAGATTGTAAGCACCAAGAGCAGGGCCCTCGAACCCCTCGTGTATTGCATTGTATTGTTATTGTACTGTCTCCTGTATTGTCTCCCATTGTAATGTAAAGCGCTGAGTGAACTGTTGGCGCTATATAAATGCTGAATAATAATAATAATAATAATAATAATATACATACACATTCTGCCCCATAAACAGTCTATGTTACACTGTACTTTGTGACCAAGTGCATTGTGCATGAAAAACAGATTTTCTTGTGAACTCTGTACATACTTGTTCTTATGAAGAATAAAATCGGCATGCAATACACGATCATATATATCTTTTAGATTGTGCTGAAGCTAGAAGCAAGCTATTATCAGTACCTAATAAAAAAGACTGAATGAGTTAGCATGAAGCCTTGATCAGTATTTCTTGTGTTTAGGTACAATCCACCAGGTCAAGTTAGGATATATACACTGCTCAAAAAAAAAAAAAAAAAAAAAAAAAAAAAAAAAAGGAACACTTTTTAGTCAGAGTATAGCATCGAGTCAATGAAACTCCTGGGATATTGTTCTGGTCAGTTAAGTAGCCGAGGGGGTTGTAAATCAGTTTCAGCTGCTTTGGTGTTAAAGTGTTACTAAACCCAGGACTCTGCATTCACTATATCTTGTCTCCCACAGTACACACAACATGGAAATGCAATTTTAGTAAATATAAAACTGCTAAATATATTTTCTCATCAGCAGTTAGAGCAGTCTTGTGACTTCAGCAGAGCACCGGTTAAAGATTGTAAGAGGAGTTTTCTTTCTGCTCTGTGAAGCCCCCTGACCCTCTGTATGGACAATGCTGATTGACCCTGTGCTGGTCACATGCACTCTCCAGAGAAAAGAAAAAAAAAAAAAAAAAACAAACACACTAGCAATACACACCAAACTGAGCATGTGTGACTATGGATTCAGTCTGTATCAGGTGGTCATTGCAACAAATGGAGAGGCAGAGAAGAAAGGATCAAAACAGCCTTTTCACACAAAGAGGAGATTTAACCCCTTGGGTTCAACAGTGAGTATAACAAGCATGATTTACTGCATATACAGACTGATTTTACTGTTGTAGGTTTAGTAACACTGTAATGAAATTAACAACAGGTGCACTAGATGGACAAGAATGAGACGACCCCCAAAACAGGAATGGTTTTACAGGAGACCACTGACATTTTTTTTCCTTACTCGTCTTTTCAAACTGTTTTTTCACTATTTTAGCATTTGGCTAGGGTCAGTGTCACTACTGGTAGCATAAAGCGATAGCTAGACCCTACAGAGGTTGCACAGGCAGTCCAACTCCAGGATGGCACATCAATATGTGCAATTGCCAGAAAGTTTGCGGTGTCTCCCAGCACGGTCTCAAGAGCATGGAGGAGATTCCAGGAAGCAAGCAGTTACTCTAGGAGAGCTGGACAGGGCCATAGAAGGTCCTTAACCCATCAGCAGGGAGCAAGGAGAAACAGTATGAGCACTGCCAAAGCCCTACAAAATGACCTCCAGAAGGCCACTGGTGTGCATTTCTCTGACCAAACAATCAGAAACAGACTTCATGAGAGTGGCCTGAGGGCCCGATGTCCCCTATTGGGCCCTGTGCTCACTGCCCGGGACCATAGAGCTCAATTGCCATTGAGCACCAGAGTTGGCAGGTCCACCACTGGCACCCTGTGCTTTTCACAGATGAAAGCAGATCCACCCTGAGCACATGTGACAGACGTGAAGGAGTGTGGAGAAGCCGTGGAGAATGTTATGCTGCCTGTAACATCGTTCAGCATGATCATTTTGGTGGAGGGTCAGTGATGGTCTGGGAAGGCATATTTATTGTCAGACCCTAAGTTGGTACAGTGGGTCCTGGGTTCCTCCTGGTACACAACAATACCTGGCCTCATGTGACGAGAGTATGCAAGCAGGTCCTGGAGGATGAAGAAATTGATACCATTGAATGGACCCCACACTCGCATGACCTAAATCCAATAGTTCACCTCTGGGATATCATGTTTTGGTACATTCGACGATGCCAGGTTGCACCTCAGACAGTCCAGGAGCTCAGTGATGCTCTGGTCCAGATCTGGGAGGAAATACCCCAGGACACCATCCGTCATCTCATTAGGAGCATGCCCTGATGTCAGGCATGCATACAAACATGTGGGGCTATACAAACTACTGAGTAACATTTTGAGTTGCTGCAATGAAATTTCAGCAAAATGGACTAGCTGGCTGCATCATTTCTTCACTTTGACTTTCAGGGTGTTTTTGAATTCAGTCCTCTGTAGGTTGATCATTTTCATTTCCATCAAACGATGGGGCATCCTTGTGTTCCTAACACATTACCCAGTCCAGTATCAGTATAGATATCCAGCATGATATTTTTCCCCCCATTGAGATCGGATGTGTTTTCAAAGTGTTCCTTTGAAGTTTTTTTGAGCAGTGTAGAAGGGCAGCTTTCTCACAGGAAAGAAACGATACAAAATACATTGCAGGTATGACAGCCGTTTGGTTTTCAACTGTTGGTGTTAACAAGATATGAAATTAAATTTCATTATTTCATTCAGTCATGTTTAAGAAAAACACGGATAGCAATGTGTGATTCAACAAGATGAAGAAAGGCAGACTGAGATTAAATCCGAAGGATGCAATAAGACCTTACAGGTTGAGGTACAAAGAAGTTAAAGCAATAATCGAACAGTCAATAATGAAATCTAGTTGCAGCAGTCACATGCTAGTTTTCATTCCACAGAATTAAAGAAGCACTCTGCTTATCACCATTTACATCTGAACTAAACTTGCATACATAGCTCCAATGTAGTTAAAAATTTCTACAGTAAAAATCTGTAAACGTGTTGGTCTTCTTTAAGAAAAGTTCAACCTCATTTGACAAATGATGAATGTCTAACATCTGATAGAGGCAAGCTGAAAAAAAAAAATTGAGGACAGGCAGAATTCTTCCTGTGTCATTCTTGGAGAAACTTCAGGTCAGGCTAATTCCACATAGTCAGTTCTTACCTAAACCATCATAATATTATCAGCAGTAAAAGGCTTTATTAAAAAACAAACAATCACTTTAAATATAGGTTGAACAAGGAGATAAAGAGGAGGCATTTTACCCCAATTTTACAAAATGTATATATAGGGACGCTCAAGCTGGCCATATGTGCATGTGATTGTTACAGGGCCAATCAGCACTAACCAGACAGAGGGTCTGCTGTGCATAGTCCAATTTATAGTGGTTCTAAAGCCAGGAGGTTTCTTACCTTCATGCATTAAAAAGAGAAGTATGGTCTTTTTTTTTTTTTAAATCATACTTACCTAAGTAGATGCAAGATTGGTCCAACTGAGCAAATTTTGAAATATCTTTTGTACGCTTTGATACTTAATAAAACCCTTAAAAATGTAATTAATAACAGTAGGCCTCATTATTATTATACAGGATTTATATAGCGCCAAGTTTGTTCAGCGCTTTACCTCATCTGCCGTTATTGTAACTGCTCTTTACCCAAACATTGGGCTTTACCCTACTGGGTGGTATTTTACTTATGCTCATAGATTAATGCCTAGGGCAGCAAGTTTAGAGGGGCAGCCCCAAGCCTCCAAACATACAATTTACGATAGCATTTCCGTTATTTTTAGTTCCCTTTTTTGGACAGCACTGGACATCTGTGACCAATTCAGTAACAGAACTGTAGAGAAAAGAGGATAGAGGGGGTTGTTAACCACTTCCAGTCCAGACACTTCCACCCCTTTCCTGTCCGGGCCAATTTTCAGCTTTCAGTGCTATCACACTTTGAATAATTGCGCAGTCATGCAACACTGAACCCATATGAATTTATCTTTTTTTTTTTTTTTGAGACAGATAAAGCTTTATTTTGCTGGTATTTATTCACCACTGGGATTATTATTTTTTTAAATAAAAAAGTCCAAACATTTTGAAAAAAAAAAGTGTTTTTCTTATAACATTTTGCAAATAAATAGTATTTCATCATAAATCTTGGCCAAAATTTGTTATTTTTAGTAAAAAAACAAATTAGTTTATAACCAAAAATTATATATTTTTAAAAAATTTTATATTATTTTTTATTTATTATCTTTTTTTTTTTTTTTTTTTTTTTTTTACATACTGTCACCCTAGCAATACAGTGACACTGTACTACTTGTGGAGGGCGATATATATATATATATATATATATACATATATATATATATTTTTTTTTTTTTTTACACACACAGATTGCTTTCACACCCATAAAAGGCTGTAAAAGCAATCATTTCTCCTTCTCTCTAGCTGCATTCTTGCAGCCGTTGACAACTACTGAGTGAGCTATGATTGGTCACAGATTGTCACATGGTACAAGGCTGTTGTGAATAGCCTTGTACCACGTGATCATTCACAGATTTCACACGTAGTAAGCAATGATGTCACAAGTGTCATTGGCCAATCAGTGATCACATGATCGGGACCTCGTACAGAGGTCCCGTCCGATGACACAGTGGAACACCGATCCAGAGGACACAGCGGGCACCAGATCGCGGTACTGCGCGCTCCGAGGGAGTGCGCACAAGCAGGGGGCGGGGAGGCCATTTATAAACAGCCACCCGACCCTGCACTGCCACCGTCCGACCGTTTATATACAACAGCCGGACGGGAGGTGGTTAAGCGTAGTCTGAAGGCTCTTAGTCCAGGAATCCTGTAACCACCTCTCATTTCTCTGGTGGTATGTACAGTTAAAAAGTAGTGATGCATATAAAGCAAATCTCAGAAGAAAAACCATGATACGAGGAGGTGGAATTTGTCCAAAAGGGTTTCAACATTCAGGTGTGCCCAAGGTAGCATGAAGCCTAAACACAGCACTAAACCCTGGGCACCTCTTGATGGTGTGCATGTTGTATATAATACATGTATTTTTATTTACATTTACATTTTATTTCCAAAATTATGAGTTACAGCACCGATCTGAAAGCCAACTTCCATTATGTAACCAGACACATGTCTATAAAAGCACTGAATCTGAAATTCACCAAACATACCTCATGCGGTTACAAGCATTTTATTTTCTCTTTAGGAGTATTTTTAGCTTAAGTATAAATTTATATAAAAAAAAATAAAAAAAACAAAAAAAACAGAATATTAAAGTAGTATTAAAACACTCCGCTTTTTTTAAACAAATGCATTAATATTAAGCAGAGAACCATTTCCAAGTACATTATATTGTTTATATACGTGCCCAAAACAAATGTGTCCAAACTGGAAACCAGAGGGGACAAGCGAAGAGGAAACAAAAACTTTTATTCAACAAGAGGCAATTATGTATTTCAAGGCTCCACACTAGCAGGAGATATTGATATAAAAAGTAAGGCTTTAATTTCACTGTAAACTTTGATGCACCAGTGAATATATTAGAACATGAAGTTTAAGCAACAACTTGCATGGAGATAAATGCTCACATATATTGTTATGGACATTTTTGTTTTTCCACTTGATAGCAGATGTGCCTTCAATGCCAGCAAGTCTGTTAAAGTTTTTGTACATTGAGATTTCACCTGTACTGACACATGAACCAGTCTGGTTCTAAGCAGTGACTATACTGTTCACTGATCCCTTGGATCACATATATATTTAATGCACTGTACACAAACACTGAGTGAAAACTATCCAGTGTAAGTTTCTAAATGCTATCAAAAACTTTGAAGTTTTTTTTTTTTTCTTTAAATCTAAACATATCGATTCAATCTTTTTTTTCCACAAAACTTAATCTGCCAAAACCAAATTTCTAGCTATTAAAGAGATACTAAAAAAAAAAAAAAAATAAATAATATAAAAAAAATAATAAAAATAGGTAATTTTTTTTGTTGTAAAATAACAAACATGTTGTTATACTTACCTGCTGTGTGTAGTGGTTTTGCAGAGTAGCCTGGATCCTCCTCTTCTCTGGTCCTCCACCTGTCTGTTGGGTGCCCCCACAGCAAGCAGCTTGCTATGGGGGCACCCACTGCTTCATGTGTCCATTCCCACATGGAGCTGTGGCTTGGCACCGCCCCCTCTCTCCTCATTGACTGACTGTGATTGACAGCAGTGGGAGGCAATGGCTCCTGCTTGCTGTCTCAGCAGCAATGAGAAGGCAGAGACCCCGGACAGTCGAGGCTGTCATGCACATCACTGGATCGTGATGGGGCTCAGGTAAGTATTGAGGGGGATGGGGGCACTGCTGCACACAGGTTATTTATCTTTATGCATAAAGGTAAAAAGCCTTAAGCCTTTACAACCACTTTAACTCTCTTTCAAAGTTAGAGAATTTATCATCTTTGCCTGATGTCCCTAAACTTTGTCAGCTTTTCAGATGCATTTGAACACATCAAGCTTTGGTGTGCCAAAAGTACTTATTGTAACATGATTTGAGAAAAAAAAAAAAAAAAAAAAAAATACACATCAGTCAACCATGGACATTTTGAACTGTAGATGACTTTCTGGCAATCATGCTTTGGACCAGGCTACTACCCTACTTAAAAGTGATTGTAAAGGCTCATTAAAATAAAAAACATAAAAAAATATACTTACCTGCTCTGTGCAATGGTATGCACACAGCGTATCTCAGCCATGCCTCTGCTGCCTCCTCACAGGATTTGACTGACAGCAGCATAAGCCTCAGGGTCAATATACATTTAAAGAGGTTGTAAAGTTTTCTTACCTAAAGCGGAGTTCCACTCACTCTATAAAAAAAAAAAATAAATAAAAGTCAGCAGCTACAAAAACTGTAGCTGCTGACTTTTAAAAAAAACAGTCACCCACCTGTCCCACGATCCAGCGTTGCCCCCGCCGCAGCTCGTCCTGTATTCCAGGTGCCGGCATCTTCAGTGTGGGCACCTAGCTGTGATAGCTTGCGGCTTCACAGCCAAGTGCCCACTGCGCATGCGTGAGTAGCACTGCGCTTCCTGAATGGCCCTGCCGTCTTCTGGGACCCGTCACGTGTCCCACACGACTTCAGGGAGGGAGGGTAGGAGGACAACTTCCGTTTTCGATTGCCTAGGCGATCAAAGTGGGAGCGGGTACCTGTCAAATATGGATACCCATTCCTTCCCGCTCCCCAAAGGTGCCAATCCTTAATGGGAAGCGGGGGACTAATCTTTAAAAGCGGAACTTCCCCATTGTCTGCATTAAGGTTAAAAGCCGGAGAGGGTGGGGTGGGGCCGAGCCACACTGTAGGTGTCTATGAAAATACAGAGTTGGCTTGGGCAAGCGCTTACTATGAAGGCAGACATTGAAAAGGAGCGGAGAGTGATAGGGGGGAACCCCAGATGAGGAGTACAGGGACTGTTCTGTGCAAAACCACTGCAGAGAGTAGGTACATATAGTAGGTTTGTCATTAAAAAACACACAACCTTTCCACTAACTTTAAAATATATATGTATTTGGTGGTTTTCCCATGGGCTTCTCTAAGCCCACTACAGCATCATACACTTGAAACAGGAGTTATACAGGACCGTGGAATCAAGAGGCAAGAGTCTGCTTCCCCACCTAGAAACAGTATGAATAGTCAAATCAGCCTGTAGGCAATTAAGGCCTCATGCACACTGGACATAGAAGGGTTTCCTTATGACAGCAGCCTGACACGCATAAAAGTGTATAACGCATTTAGCTGCGTCAAGTGTTTGGGCGTTAATGTCATTGGCCAGAATAAATGCTGGCTCGCTCCTTAGCCGCCCTGTTTGCACACATTGACACACAGCAGGCAGCTGTATGGATGCATCTGCCAATGGCTCCCTTTGCTATCAATCTGCCCAATGAATTAGGAGACAGCGGCTAAAGCCAATGCTGTTATGCACATGCTGGATCGGATCGGGCTCAGGTAAGAAAAAGGGTGGGCTCGGGGGTGGAGGGGGAGCTGAAGCACAGAAGGTTTTTCACCTTAATGCAGTAAGGTGAAAAAACCTTAAGGCTTTATGACCACTTTAAAGTTATTACAGGATTTTAAAATTTCTGTTTCGGTCCTCAGCTATGATTTTTGAAAACTATCCAGAAATCTAAAAGCTGGCCATACACTGTTTCTTTCTGCTTAGACAGGAAAGATGAACATTTCTCCTAAGCCAAGAAAAAATCAGGGACACAACATACTGTACTAAATGTAATTTATGTCTTTTGTGCTCATTTATAAGTTTGCAATTTAGGCTAAACATGGACTTTTAGGTCATATTACAGGATGCCCTGCAATAGAATCTTTAGGGAGATACTTCCAGACCACCTATGTGTACTAGGTTTACAATGAAAACATAGATGAGTAAACCGAAAAAAAAACCAGTACTAAAATTTCAGCATTGCCCAAGTCAACCTAACCCAGATGGGTTTTCTCTTCACATGTTTACTGCCAATCTGCACAACCCATAGCTTTTTGTGATAAAAGGCTGTGGAATAAGAAGTGGGAAAATCTGACTATCATTGTCCACTGTTGGGAGATCTGTGCAGAAGATGGGCTAACTGACCGATAGAGCTTCTTTAACCCAAACATTATCATCAGTGTGGAATGTTAGCAACTGGCCCTGAAAATACATTTTCAATACAGTCATAGCATTTAATGGATACATATCTTTATAATGTAAAAATTGTTACAGCACCCTCCCTATCATTGCAGCACAAAGCACAGTATATTGCCCATCAAAAAAATGTTCCTGCTTTGGCTTGTACAGGTAACCCCCAAGTTATGAACATTTGAGTTCTGAGCAACTCGTACTTGTATACAGTAGGGAATTGCTAAAGTCAATCTCTGGGGAAATGAAAAAAAAGAGAAAAAAAAAAAAAAAAATGCACCCTTGCAGTGGTGATGCTCCCACACTGCAAGGCTCAAGAACTTGTATAAATCGGGGGGGGAACGACGACAAAAGCAGTTCTCCTTACCTGATCCTTCCCTTGGTGTCCTCATGTCCAGTGCAGGGCTATGGACTTGCCAATGGCCGAGGACATGGTACTGCCCGAAGCATAGAAGAAAAGGCTGCAGGGACTGATCTTGCAGCCTTCAAGGATTCTGGGGAAGTGGAGGATCAGGTAAATAAAACTGCTTTTTGTGGCCACCTAGACCTAAGCATGCATCTGATCCTTGCAGTGGAGAGGTAGTCCCAATTCAAAAAAGGGAGAATTTTTGTTCCTTGAGTTAAAAGTACACATGAGGTAGGAAAACACCACTAAAATTTTAAAACAGCCAACTTTAATAAGCTGCGATCCCTACTATATGACAATAAATGGAATCAAAAACAAAACACTTAGAAGTGGGAGTGCTTTAAGGGCATATTAAACTAAGGCATTGGTCAGTGCACTCCCATTGGGCAGCAAATATAAAAGGATAAAAATTAAACCTTGGTGGCTAAACACCAATGTAAAAAGGCATATTAATAAGAAAAAAAAAATGGTCCTTTATTAAATATTTGGCTGAAAGGTCACCATCAACATTTCAAAACTACAAAAAAGTGCAATAAGAAATGCAAGAGTGTGATCAAGTTGCTAAAATAGATTGTGAAAGACAGATTGCTGAGAAGTTAAAAAATCAATTCAAATCACCAAATTGTTTCATATACAGTTTAGAAGGTTTTCTTTTGTTGGAGGATTTCAGAAAAGGGTCTGGGACCTTTTCCCTGCATTTCCTACAGGTACATTTGCACCTTCACAAAATG